TAGCTCCGTGGGCCTGGTCAAATAAAAGGCTTAGTTTCTAGTCGAGTTTTAGGAGTGTTTTCAGAACGTTTACGTCGGAAGAAATGATATCGAACCGAAGGGTGCGAGTAAGACCGAGGCAACGAAGATGGTGAAGGAGCGACAGCGGTGGAGGGAGTTGGTTTATCCACGTTATCGCCCCCTTTAGCTGATGGGTGAAACAAAAACAAGAGGTTAATAGATTGGTGGGGGAACACACGGGGCAGAGCAAACTTAGGCGGGCGCAACGGACAAGCCAGACTCCACGAGCAAGACGGACAATGCACCTGAGATCCAATGTGGAAAGACGAGGCGGTGAGATGAGCAATACAGACAGGGCAGTACCAAGGAACACAATGAGTACGAATGTGACGGGGGTGGAGAGGCGACGCAGTGGTTAGCGGTTTGCGGTTAGCAGGTGCGTGTAGTTAGCGCACTTTGCTGTCAACCCGGTGACCTGTGTTTGATATCCGACGTCAATGGCGAGCGATAGCTGAACTGCCGGCCGGGGTCGGCTTCCTTCCCTTCAGCAACCCGTACTGACCAGCGTGGTGAAGTACGCTCGGACAACTCGCATGACCAACATAATATGTGGAAGGCTTTCATCAAGCAGTTAGTTGACGGAAAGCCTTACATTTGTACCTTCTTTGGTTACAAACTGTGCAGACCGTACAGCGGATGCACAAGGAAGGTTAAGGTGCAGCCCTGCAATTGCTGGACAAAATAACCATCCTTCTGTGGGCGGTATTTTGGTCTACTCTTCCTATGCTTGGCCTCGCGTCTCGCATGAGGCCAAAACGACGGCAAAAACAAGGTCGACGCGAAAAAATATTTTCTTGGAACGAATCAAAAACTCGTCACGATCGATCCATCCAGCGATCCATCCATCGATCCATCCATCCATCGATCGATGGAAAGCGTGGGTTTGCGGAGATTGCGGGGAGCGAATCGTCTTCGCTCCCGTTAGGCCGCACGTTTCAACGCTCGGCTCATTGGGCCACGGTTTTCTAAGCGCGGGGTTGTCGCACGCGCGGCCGTGCGAGGCGCCGTCGCCGCGCCAGGCTAGGCCGTCCGGCGGGACGGCGTGCGCCAACAAAGGGCCGGGCGGTGCGCCGGTGAGCAGGTGAGCCGGTGAGCAGGTGAGCAGGTGAGCAGGTGAGCCGGTGAGCCGTGGGACATGACGGCGTCGGCGGCTCGTGCTTGTTGATTTTATGCCCTGCACGCAGCCGCCTTCCACTGCTCGCCAGATCGTATCGGCGAGATAAGGCCTTCAGCGGTGTAGCGGGAGAGTAAAGTAGGTGGCGCTGACGGACGTGGCTGAACGTACGTGTATAAAACAAATTTGCGCGTTGGATAAATAGCGTAGGTAAGTGCACATTCGTGTTATTGTGTTTTTAACAGTTTACAGTAACAGGATCGCTTTCCCTTTTTGTGAGTTCTTTCATTGGGGTTTGTTTTCTCTCCCCTCCTCCCCCCCGTGTGTCCTCAGACCAACTCCTCCCCCTTCTTTTCATGTGCCGTGATTGATGAAGCTCTGACAGGTTCATGTGGCAGAGCCTTTTTTATATATGCATTCATAAAATCCACCGCTTGCATTGGAAACACCTGCATGCGATGGCAGCCTGGGTAGATCGGCAACAGCAGCAGCTGCACCGGCAAGTGGCTTTTGTCACCTCGGCGCCACGGTGGCGAGATGTTCACCGCCCCGCCTGGTATACCGACGGTCGTGGGTTCGTTCCCGACCCTGACGATGCCTCCTGAAATATTTGGAGTTTGCGTGCCTCTCGCCCCGTGGTCGCGTGGACTTTTCTTCGGGTCCTCTGGGTTTTCCGCTCCACATTTAGAAACGCGCGTTTGGAGTGTTTGGCTGCTATAATTTTCCACGTGCTACGCCACTTCGTTGAACTATCATGTATGGCCGGGTCGCGCCTGCAAAAGAGATGTGCAGCTCAGTGGGCCTCACGTGGTAAAGTTTTAAAAAAAACTGCCTGCTCCTCCTCCATCCAGCAGTTGCATCTGCAGGAGAGAGAGAGGCCGACTTATTTGCTCGAATTCTGACACCTGCCTCTGCTCTCTCTCTCTCTCTCGTGCGCGTGTGTGTGTTTTAACCCGGCAAACAGTTTTAAGTCAATAAGTGTTGTGGCAAGGAATTGATGCCTCTGTGGGAGTTGGGGAGAGCGAGCGTTGGGGGCCGTGGGGGGGAGGGCGAGGATTTGGGGGTGGGGGGGGGGGCCGGGGGGGGGGTGACAATCGAGGGGGGGGGAGGTTGCTTGGAGTGTTTCCAGAGGCAGTTAGCGGACGTCTCATTTGATTACGCGATGCACGTTTCTCGCCTCCTCGTTCCGGCCCAGCGCGTTGATTTATTTTTTATTGCGGACGCTGCCGGCAGGGATGCCCAGCCGTGTCACGTTGCGTCCAATGAAGAAAATTCAGCGCAGCGTTCTCGACGCCCGCACCTCCCCACGGTTCGGCTGCGTACGGCGCGAAATAATTTCAACATTTAGCCACCATTGAGCCAGAGTTGTTGTCTTGGTGTGGTCAGGGACTTCTGCTGTTGTTGTTTTGCTGCCTTGCCCCAAGCTTGCATTTGGTGTACGGCACATCGCCAGCAATCCATCTACTCGTGCAATTTGTACTTCTGTACTTTATAGTGCCCCCGTAGCGTTTTCGTTGTATCGTTTTGTCGATGTAACTCACTGACTCCGCGCCCCTACTGGACCGTCGGCGAAAAAGAGCTCCGTAGCTTCATTGGATTCCTCCTCCACTCTGACAGATTCTGTACGTCTGTTGAACCTCTTTCGCACCGTACGTAGCCGACCGTGCTGTCGACGGCCCTTACGCGCGCGTTGTCGTGCGGCGCTGTTGAATGCGACGGCACGAACGTGGAAGCGCGGCGTTCGAAGTAAATGTTCTCTTTTGACGTGCGTGGTGGTCGTTGCGGTGGCGGGGGGCTGACGGAATGCACCGCAGCAGCCTGCCTCGGCCGCGCTTTACAAATTCGACTTGTGCAACAACCTTCTCGTAAAAAGGGTTGCGAAACGCTCGCGCAAAGTAATAATAACGCTGCCGCGGTGATGAGATCCTTTGCACGTAATAATAATAAAAAAAATGTTTTCCGGCAACAACACGAACCGAATGAGTCCGGCACGAAGCGACCAAACCACAAAGCCGCCACAGTTCAAATGAACTATGAACTAATCATTTTATTTTACCAGGTAACGCCCACTGAGCTATTTATAACTTTTTTTCAGAAGCAACCTGGCCACTAATGATTGCTCAACGAAGTGGATTATGTGGAAATTTATAGCAACCAAAAATACTCTAAACGCACATTTATTCTAAATGTGGAGGGGAAAACTGGAGGACCAGGAGAAAAATCCACATGACCACGGGGAGAGAGACATACACACACCGATTATACAGGTATCAGGGTCGGGATCGAACCCACAGCATCTTGTGCACCAGGAAAGGTAGCTAACGTCTCGCCAATTGGTTGTTGTGCTCTCCTTCAGTAACCGGGGCTAAAGAGCACGCGTTTTCTCTCCTCTGCTTGAGAATGCACTTTAATCGTGAGCAGCCGAACTCCAGATTTGCTCCCAGCAACTTAGTGCCGCTGACTCCAAAATTCATCGCCTGCAAGAACACTCTTGGGCAATTCAAGACGGGCGTTCCAAGGTCGTTCATTCCGATATGCCTGGCGTGCCATGTATGTATGTTGGAACTTTTTTTGTACCGTACATTAGCCAGCCGTGCTAATCGGAGGTGCAGGGGAAGGACAACAAACTAAACACAGAAAGCGGTTCTAAAGAAATGAGTTTTCAATCTAGATTTAGAAGTGCATAGCTTCAGTGGCTTCCTAACATTGGCAGGAAGAGCGTTCCAGACGGCCGCAGAAGGGCATCCGAAAGCGCGCGATGCGGTATAACCGTCTTTGTTCGATGGCCGAGCTAAAAGCCATTGAAGTACGTGGTACGTCCAACCCGAAATGTCATGCAAATGTATATGTATGTTCAACTTCTTTCGCGCACCGTATGTTCGCCAGCCGCGCTAATCGGAGGTGCTGGGGAAAGAAGACAAACTAAACACAGAAAGCGGTTCTCAAGAAATGAGTTTTCGATCCAGATTTAAAATTGCACAGATCTCCAGTGGCTTCCTATTATCGGAAGTTGCAAATCGCAGCACCTTTTTCCTGTCCAGAAATCATGTTGTGTACTTGTACAGTGTCTGTACTCGTTTGTTTAACACCCGCGATGACTTTTCTTCTGCCACGTGAGTTCGTCATCGTTTACAGCGAGTGTTAGAGTTGGTTTACTGCAAGGTTGTATCTTAACGTCTTATCGGACAAGGCCGAGGGCTTTGTGCGCGGCAGTGGTGATGGTCAGAATCAGAATATTTATTACCTCGCCTGAAGACGGTCGCTTGTTGTTGCGATCGAAACGTCGTGATCTGTTATTTTTTTCTACCTACGTGACTTTACCCAAAGAACCAAAGAGTATTTATCTTTCATGCTCGGGGAATCCGATGAGCTATGAAGCTCTTCTTCACTGATGTCTCAGAAGGGGCACGGGATCAGAACGTCACAACGACATACAATGCAAAAACACAATACCAGTGCCAAGTCTAGGAAAAGTAAACAAATCACTTAAAAATAAACAAAGAAAACGAAGCTATTTTCATCTTACCAGTAAAGCCTGCTGAGCTGTTAAAGCTTATTTTTTTCAGAAGCGACCTGGTCACAAATGATAATAGCTCAACAAAGTGACATATCACGTGGACATTTATCGCAGAAGAACTATATAATTAATTAACTGTCACGTGACCCCCCCCCCATGCAAGGCCGTCACGATGTGAGTCGCGCCTCTCCCTGTGCCGTGTGTGCTGTTGAGTGCGTTGGAGCGTGCGCCATCGGGCTGACCATGTCTCCCTCCGCTTTGCCGCCCCCCCCCCCCCCCCGTCGCCGCTTTTGGCGCGTGACGTCGCAGGGCTCGGCCGCGGTGCTGCAGCGTCGCTCGGAGAACGAAGAGTTCGTCGAGGTGGGAAGACTCGGGCCGTCCGACTACTTTGGTGAGAGGCGACTCGCTGGCACGCAGATTCGCCGAGTTTCTGTCCACCGATCTCGCGAGTTTCAGTCGCACATTTGGTGTTGCGTCATTCTGGTACGCGCACGGCTGTATCGCGATGGCGCTACGTGTCACAGGCACGGTCTGCGGTAGTTCGGCAAGTAGTGGCGGACCAAGTTTGCTACGTGTATTCCGAATTGATTGTTTTGTGGGCAACTATTCAAATCTGGCAATACTTTGGACCATGTCGCTCGCAATGGCCTACTATGTTCGAACGGCGTCACCTAGATCTTTAACGTGTGTCCCCTTTGATGCGGACGGCGCGTAGTATCTGAGGGTTAATTCACCCGCAGTATTAACCAGGTCCGCCTTCCTGATTCGAACTGCGAACCTCTACAATGAGCGCACGAGCGCTCTTCCGCCGGGCCACGTCAACAACTTTCACAGCCGCAGTCCGGTCATAGTAAACTAAACTATTAAACAATTATTTTTTATTCTACCCAGGTAAGGCACACTGAGCTCTTTTTCACAAGCGACCTGGCCATCATAAACGACAGCTCAAGGAAAGTTGGCTCACCGTCAACGTGGAAATGTATAGCAGTCATACACTCTATAAACGTACGTTGGATTTTAAATGTGGAGGGAAAAAGCCGGAGGACCCGCAGAAAAATCCACGCGACCATGGGGAGAGAGAGAGAGAGAGAGGAGAGACACGCAAACTCCAAATATACAGCAGCAGGCGTCAGGGTCGGGATCGAACCCACGACCTCCTGCATACCAGGCGAGGTATACAGGAGCTTCTGCAAATGCTCCCTAATGATGTTCGAGTTGATAATCTGAGAAAATAGAGACGTATGGGGTGGGGTGTGGGGGGTAGTGGTGGGTGCGGGTGGGGGTGGGCAAAGCATGCCGGACGAGCGTGTTAATTCACGCGTCCGCATCGTCACGGCCTGCATTTGTAAACGTCCACGCGGTCGTGTCGTCTCTAAACCACGGCACCCTCCCGTGCACGTCTTCGCCGCCGTCGAGTCCCCAACGTCACGTTGGCAGGTAGCGATTGATAGAAACGCGCACAAAGAAGAATAGGAAGGTGTGGGGTGGTGGGGGGGGGGGCTGTTGGCGTGGGGGGGGGGCGGTGCTGGAGTCAACAGTGCAGACGCGTCCAGTCGGTGGGAGGTCCAGCAAACGTGAGGGAGCAGTGGGAATAAAAGCACCAGTGGCCCTCCCATTGAGCAGAGGTCAACCGGCGGCGGGGGTGTTGACGGAAGGGGCACGCTCGGCGGAGCGGGTAGTGGGCGCATGAAGGGGGATTAGATTGGGGGGGGGGGCGGGGGGGGGTGCAATGGCAGGGGGTTGGTGACGTCAAGTTCACGTCGCAGTCCCTGTCGGCGAACGGACTCGGAGAGACCGGCGGAGGTGAGCCGAGGACTTGATGCGGTCTCGTGGACGGGTCTCGTTCCGGATCATTAGCGGGTTTGGAGGTGAGAGGGGTGGGGGGGCGGAGGGATGTGGGCACGCCATAGAGGAGCGAGTCGCTTGTGTTCCTAGACAACAGGCGATGAAAGTAACAGATGGAGGGTCTCAATAGGGAACGGGGAGGAGGTCATCTTCTTGGTTCTTTCGGTAAAGTCACGTAGAAGGGAAATAATAAATAAAATGAATTTTTATCTTATTTTATTATAATTATAATAAATATTTATTATTTCCCTTCTACGTGACTTTACCGAAAGAACCAAGAAGATGAATACCTGCAGTCACGAAAGCTTTAAATCGAAACGGGAGGAGGTGTTTGCGTGCGTGCGTGATTGCGTGCGTGGTGCGATGGTGGTGCGCTGGGGAGTTTTGTGTCGAGGAGGGCGGTGAGACAGCGTAGCCTCGAAGCCGGGGGCAGCGAGCGGTGTCGAACTTCCCCGTGCGGCATTGGGGATTACGTACGAGCGACGAGACGGAGAAATAAGACCCAGGAGTTGTAGGGGGACGGGTCGAAGTTCCGAGCCCAAATTGCGTAGCAGCAGGACAGCGCACGTGGCGAGGCCTATCGCTCGCGTTATCGTGGGGCAGGGGAGACAGAGGCGGCCTGGTGCTGGTCACGCCACTATTATTTGGATTATATTAAAACATTTACTTCGCTTTCCTTTAAAGCAACAGTTGGGAGTTGCCGAGTAGCCTTATGGTGTGGTCAGTTGGTGGTACAGGATATGTGTGTGTGTGTGTGACTAGATTTGTGTCACTTTATTGAACACCGGTGTACAGGTTTGTGGTGAATCTTGCTGGAGAGTACGGCAACAGCACTCGCACCAGCAGTCTGCGACGCAAGGGGATGTGCTCCAGATTTTCGGATTGATTCGAAAACTTGGCCAAGCATTGACATTTGGGATGATCCAAAAATGTATCCTCGTTTTTGTATTTTTATTGATCCAGACACTGGACGTGACGTCACGAACGCGACGTCACTTCCCCACTTTCCCCATCAACAGCGTTTCGCGCGCGCGAGGCGTTCGACGTGCCGACGGTTGTTACTCGTCGGCATGAAATGAGAACCGCCCGAGGAGAATAAGAAAATATAAACATGAAAAAATAAACTGTCCGTCGAAACCCTAAGCGCTTTATTAAAATCCTTTATATTAGTTCACTTGCTTGCGCGCTTACGACCATGCAAATCTTTCGGTCGTTTTTTAACCCACTTCCCGTGATCCAATCGAGCTGACATTTTGCACACAGACTCGTTGTGCGTGACAATGTATTTTCGTGAAAAATTTTTTTCCAAAATGTTACACTTTTTAGGAATTTTTTAAAAATATTTAATTACCAATTGCTTAATGGTGGCAGGCAATCATCTGACCCATAGGTGGCAGCCATCTCAAGCCAGAGGACGAGAGGACTCTAGCCGCCACGCATATAAAGGATTTAGAGTGAAAAACTTTGTTTTTACGGGTTAATTATTTAAAACCCGATCGACGATTACTCGTCCCTTGTGCGAGGCCATGGCTGGGGCGAGTGGGAGGCAAGTCTCCGTGTCCGTGTGCCGTTGTCTCCGTGGGGGCGCAGGCGAGATCGCGCTGCTGCTCGACCGGCCGCGCGCCGCCACGGTGGTGTCGCGGGGGCCGCTCAAGTGCGTCAAGCTGGACCGGCCGCGCTTCGAGCGCGTCCTGGGTCCCTGCTCGGACATCCTCAAGCGCAACATCCAGCAGTACAACAGCTTCGTGTCGCTCTCCGTCTGAGACGTCAAGCTGCTGCTGCCGCCGGCGCTGCTGGTGGTGGACCCCGTTGCTCCTTTCAAGCCACCGCCACCTCCTGCCCCTGCCCCCCCTGGCCTCTCCCCCCCCGGCCCCCCCTTCCCACACCGTCATTTTCTGCTCCTCCACCTCCTTGCCGCCGTGCGTCCGATGGCGGCGGGGCGATCGAACGGAAGCCGTCCGACGCCGAAGCTTGCCCACGAGTTGCTGGCACAGGCGCTGTCGGCACGGGGGGGGCGGGGTGGGGGGGGATGGACGTCGACTGTTGGTGCACGCCGGTAGTTGCATGCGGCGCGGGAGGATTTAGGCGTCGTGGCGATTTGTCAACCGCTGACCGCCAACCCCTCCCCTCCCCCCCACCGATCGCCGCCTCGTGACTCGTTTGTGTTATCCGTCTCGTCTGTACCGCCCGGCTCGTAATTCCTTTCTCTCGTTTGTTCCGTTGGTCTCGTGTTCGGTTCTGTTGGGCGTCTCAGGATGATTTTGCCGTGAATTGGGCGACGACGACAAGGATTGTATCGTTTGTGTTTGTCGTACCTGCCGCGTCATTTCTACGATTGACACGTTGCGCTGTCCGTAATCTCCGCCGCGCTAGCAACCGTGTCCCCGCGGTGCCGGCGTTTCTGTCCCGCTGGCCTCGTCTCGTCGTACGTTTCGTCTCCCCCCGCTGCTGTCTGTGCCTCATTCTCTCGTGTCATCGGCGCTGTCCGTCTTGCACCGTCGCCTTTGTCGCTGGCTCCGTTTTTGTGTCGTCCGCCTTTCGGGTTTTTTTTTCTCACATTTTGTTCCCCCTATCCTGAGAGTCAAACATTTGACGGTTGTTTTCGTTGCGCAGGTAAACAACGGATTCTTCCGCTCACCGTTCAAAGCGTTTTAATTTGAGCGTGAGAATCGATTGTTGACTGGATGATGACTCTCCACCGATCTACGCGACTCAAATCCACACCATCCCAGCTCCAGTCGTTTCATCCCCCACACGCTCTGGAAATTCACTCATCCACGTCCTGGAAATTTACCCATTCACTGTGGAAATTCACCCCCCACCCTCTTTTTTAATTCATTCAGCTGCATCGCTCGCACGTATTGCGAGGGCCTATGACGCTCTCCAATATGATCTATCTCTTAATTTTTTTTGACATTCTTAAAAAAAATAGGAACTTGATCCTCGCATTTTTTTTTTGTGTCTAAGCAAAGATGCCAGCTGTTGGCGTGATAACTCCTCCGGAGTTCCGGGTACACTGGGAGATCTAATCTCACGGAGCAGAAACCACCTGCACAGAGATATTGTGCACATTACCAAAGGTATCTGAATCAGTTTTACAATGCTTTTTACTGACACGGAGCGTCATGCCCTGCCATACCTCGTGTGGGCTATTGTGCTTGCTCGGGCGATATAAGGGCTTTATTGGGCCGCGGCTATCAAATCAACTTTGCGCTCTTGACCATCTTCGCATGCAAGCTGCGGTGCCGATGGCTTCAGGGTTGAAAACCCATCTTTGGCTAAGTGTCACTCGAGGTGAAGTGTGGCCACACCTGACGGTGATCCGATCCGCACCTCTGCCGCTCCTCGTAGTTCTGGCTGGCCGGGCTTCACAGGCGAAGGGAGTTTTGACAGAGTTCCCAAGGAATTTTTCACGAGCGTGCGTGCCATTAGTAGCACGGAGCGCAGGACACGGAGCGATGGAAAGGAGGGCATTTATTTTTTGCCAAGTTGGGGGGGTGGTGAGGAACCGGGGGTGGGGGGGGGTGCGTGGGCGTGCTTGCATTTAAAGTGAACACAACGTGTCTTTGCAGTTATTGGGCCGTAATCTGAAGGGTAAAGCTGGGGTTAAGGTCGCTAACCCTTACCACAATAATCCGTGTTCTCAATTTGAACCACGCTTCGCGATAGCGAAGCCGACTTTGGCAGTCTGTTGCCATTCGCCGGTCTCGGGGCAGTTTTTTTGTTGTTGTTTAGCGCTTGCACGCTTGCACGCTAGCGTGTCGCTCCCCCCTCCCCCCCCCCCCCGTCTCTTCGCGTGGAGAGAGAGATGGTCGGGGGGCGTTCGACACGCGCACCGTCGTACCGTACTTCACGCACGCCCTGCGCGCGGAACCCGAAGCTCCCTCGGGGCTCACTGTTCGGACTCTTTGGCTTCTGCTGGAGTGCGCGTGTGCCCCCATTGACCTTGCTCGCATGACATTTTCTTACCCCAAATTTGTTTTAGCACCCTCACCTCTCGGCGGGTGGGGGGTGTAGCGTGTTGTTCGCCCATGAAGTCATAAAAGACGGGTCCGAGCCGTCGATGAGCAAGCGCGCGAGTTTTTGCTCCCCACACACCAGGCAGGAGGAGGCGTAAGAGCCGTCGACATCGCCAGTTGGGCCTCGCAGTGGCAAGGTGCCGACTACCTCGCCTGGTACACATGAGGGTCGTGGGCTCGATCCTGACCCTGGCACCTGTTGTGTGTTGGGAGTTTTGCACGTCGCTCTGCCCGTCGCCGCGTGAAATTTGCGTCCCGGTCCTCCGGTTTTTCCCCTCCGCGCTTCAGAGTGATTTGGCTACTGCTTTGAATCCCCGCACGACCGACGATGAACCCACTTCGTTGAGCTGTCATTTGTGATGGCCAGGGCGCTTCTAAAAACAATAAAAGACCCACATTGCCTTACCTGGTAATCTAAGAATTAGTTTTATCAGCAATGACGCGCGCAAGCCTCTCTCGCGCACGATCGATTATTTTCTTGCGTCGTGATCCATTGTGACGCTGCTGTTACCCCCACCCCCCGCGGTGAGACTCCTCCGTGGTGGCTCACGTTCATTTTTTTTTCCTCTCAAGACGCACGTGATCACGGGAAACGTGCGTAGCCTACGGTTTGTTGAGTTTTCCTCTGCGTCTTGTGGTGGTTTCCCAGTCCCCCCCTCACGGCCCCCCCCCCCCCGCCGCCACCCAAGCCCCCCCCCCACCGCCACCGCTTCTATAAAATAAGAATCACGACGCTCGTTGCATCGAGCGACATACTCCGGCGCGTCGGTTTTATTCCGCTCGTTTTAAGTTGCTTTTGCGTTCTACTTATTTGCGTTCCTATTAATCCATAAGGTCCGGGTTCGTACGCGAAGTATGTTGATAATTGATAATACGTAGTAATAATAATAATAATCATTCAGCGTCGCTGCTTATTTCTCCCTCCCCCATTTCAAGCTCCGCTCTCGTGCGCGTTGCGCACATCGCCTCCGCTACCCGAGCGACCGATCGATTGCGCGCGCAACGCAATCGCTTCACTCTACCATAGTCACAATCCCACCGCGACTGCTTTGTCCACGTGCGTGCGCGGAGTAGTTGTGCAACGGGGAACTTGCACGGTGCACGTTCAGGGTCGTGACAACCGATCGCGGCGGCGGCGGCGGCCCAAGTGTGACCAAGGGCATCTTGCCGCGTGCCCGGAGCGTGCGCCAACCCGGTAGGCGGAGACTGTGGCAACGTAGGCGATGCGTTGTTGCGCAACTGATGGCCCCCCCCCCGGGTGTGCCACCTGGGTTCACGTGTGGCGGGGCGCGCACGTTTCACAAGCGAGCCGGCGCTGAAGGTTTTAAACTCACTCCCCCTTTTGGCCTTTGCACGGCAAGAAGGCAGATTTCGCCGCGTTTGGAGCGAATCCCTTCATCCCGTGCGCCTTTGGAGCTCTCTCCTTTTGGTTGTGCATGCAGTGTCTTGTGTGTGTGTGTGCGTAAGAGCGCGTCTGTGTGTGTGTGCGCGTGCGTAAGAGCGCGTGTGTGTGCGTGCATGTGTGTGTGTGTGCGTGTGTGTGTGAGCGCGCGTGTGAGCGCGCGTGTGTGTGCGCGCGTGTGTGTGTGTGCGCGTGTGTGTGTGAGCTTGTGTGTGTGTGTGTGAGCGTGTGTGTGTGTGCGTGCGTATGTGTGTGAGCGCGTGTATGTGTGAGCGCGTGTGTGTGTGAGCGCGTGTGCGTGTGAGCGCGTGTGTGTGTGCGAGCGCGTGTGTGTGTGCGTGCGTGTGTGTGTGTGTGTGAGCGCGCGCGTGTGTGTGTGAGCGCGTGTGTGTGTGCGTGCACTTCGGTGGCGAGCGGTAGTGTTGCAGTGAGCGCGCTGCACTACGGATCCGGCTGCCCTAGTTGGATTCCTGGCTCACGGCCAACACCAGTGACAAATATCTGAACCGGTCATGGGCATCCCCTAGGTCGACTCGGCCTCATGAGTACCTGGTGCGGTGTTTCAACATCGCCACTGGGGAGACAAAGGCGGCGTGGGGGGTGGCCTCTCAAATTCCGTTAAAGGCTATACACGGGGGAAACTTTGTGTCTGTACGACCATGAGCTGGTGCCCGCGTGTTTATTGTACGACGAGAGGTAGTGTGTTTATAATTGACCAATGCGTTGCGTTTGTATGACCTGTTTATTGACGCTTAATCCTTGTCAATGTGTGTGTGTGCGTGCGTGCATGCGTGTTTGTGTGTGCATGCGTGTGTGTGTGTGTGCATGCGTGTTTGCGTGCGTGCGTGTGTGTGTGTGCGTGCGTGTGTGTGTGTGCGTGCGTGTGTGTGTGTGCGTGCGTGTGTGTGTGTGCGTGCGTGCGTGCTTTATGGCGAGCGACGGTGCGCGGTGTCGATTGCAGCGACGTGTGTCGCTACAGACCGGGCGCTGTCCCGCAACATCCAGCGGCAATCGACGAGTTGGAACCTGACCTGCCCTGACCTGGGCCTGGGCCTGGCTCTCGTTCAGGTCAACTCGGCCTGAAACACGAGTTGACTACCCGGTGCAAATCGGCGCGAGCGCGGACGCGTAAATATAAATGTCGTGTCGTTGAACCCGCCACCACCACCCGACACAGCCGACCAGTAAGGTTTGTCGCGTAAACAAAACGTGGCAATCGGTTACTAGTTAGGCACAGCGGTGTGTTGGAGAGTTAAGCCCACTGCAGCATTTACAGTCTGACTACTGTAACGTTTCGCCGGTAATCGCAACAACCAGCATCATCAGGCGACAGCCAACACACAACCCGTGTGCTGAACCAGTCGCGAATTTGCACATTTTGCTTACGGTGACGAACCTCGCTGATTGGGCAGTGTCGGGTGGTGGTGTCGGGTTTAATGCCGCATCTATACTTACGCGATCTAATCCCCCCCCCAAAAAAAAACCTCTTACGAATCATATTGGTCGCGGCAGCCCGACTACGTGATAGAACCGTGCAATGCAGCCCTCGTCACCCATTAGTGCTGTGCCTGGCTTTTTAATTGATATCTACTCGTTAACCGCCCCCCCCTACCCCCCCAATGCCTTTCCGATAGTTTATCCGGCGTAAAAGTGTGGGGGGGGGGGGGGCGGTGGAACCTTCGTCCCCTATTCGCGAGACGTCCTCTTTGTATCGCGTGTGTGCATCGTGCTTACTGGCGGATGTGTGTGCGGGGGGCGTGGGGGGGGAGGAGAACGCTAGTAAGCGTGCGCTAGTAAGTGGTAAGGAGCGGTGTAAGTGGTTAATGAAGATTTTTTTTTTTAAATCAAACGATATATAATGACAAGAAGAGGGGTAGAAGGGACGAGGGGGTTTCGGGTGAAACATGAGGACACGTGGGGGACCAGGCGATATTTTTTTTTTAAATTGTGCGGTTTTCGCGCGCGTCCAGAGCCTCTACCCGCGCAGAACGAAGTATTGCCGTGGGGCGCACCGTTGCTTTTCTTATTCTTCTCCTGCCCTGCCCCTCCTTGGCCGCTCGTCAATAATTGGGACCTCTGTTTTGAAACTCTGGCTGATGTCGCAAAGTCTTACGCGCTTGGTTGAGTTTGCTCGCTCGCTGTGCGCGAGTGAGTGAGTGTGTGTACGCTGTATATATATAAACAAATATAAACCGTACCATGATGAAAAATAAAAGGGTTACAAAAGACTTGCGAGTGAACTTGATGACACCACAACGCACGCACTCGCTGGCGTGTTGGTACGGATGGCTACGCACGGTGCGAAAGACGTTCGATCTACAGACAAAACCATACGGGGCGCAGGGAAGACATCAGCGTCTCGCGTGTTCTGAATCAGGCTCGGGAGCGGAACGTCTGTTCTTGCTCGTGTCTGCGGTGGGAGGGGGTGAGCGTGATTTATTCCTGACACCCGACTGTCACTCACTCGACTCACTCTCAACTCGACTCACTCACTGGATTCTAGATTTGAAGCTTTCGTGACTGCAAGGATTCATACTCTTAGGTTCTTTCGGTAAAGTCACGTAGGTAAAAAAATTAATTAAAATTAATAATTTTATTGTTTTATTTTAATTAAATGTTTTACCTACGTGACTTTACCGAAAGAACTAAGAGTATCACTCACTCGACTCACTCTCAACTCGACTCACTCTCTCGACTCACTCTCAACCCAACTCACTCTCTACTCGACCCTCTCTCTGTGAACGCGCTCCAGCTGTCCCCTTCGGATCACATTCCGCCTGTTCCCGGAATGCGAATTTTTTTTGTGTTCCTCCCCCCGCCCCCCCCCCCCCCGATTCCCCCCCCCGATTCCCCCCCCCCCCGCCCCCCCCCCAAAAAAAAACTCTCCTAAATCCTGGTTCATCGAACCGAGACATGAAACAAGCAACCCCCCCCCCCGCCCTTTGCCGACGTTATTCTAACATATGGTTGTCTTAGTAACTGGGTGAGCATTTGGACCCCAGAGCCCTGTATGGCAGCCTAAACAGCAGATGTGATTGTCTGGGAAATGTTTCGTAGCGTGGGTACATTTAATTATTTTTTTAATATACACACGCTATGTTTTTTTTTAAAGCAATGAACTGCCAAGCATGCCTCCTCCCATAAAGAGCCGGACACGCGTTTTCTTTTTTTCGCGCGGTTCGGTTTACGCGGCTTAATGAAGTCACCCCTCGCTTGCACCAACAGCCCGCGCCGTGTGCCGCCACCACCGCCACCACCGCCACCGCCACCACCGCCACCACCGCCACCGCTACCACCGCCACCGTCAGCAGCAGCAGCAGCGCCAGCGTGCGAACGGTTGAGCAGCCTCGCATTGCACTCGCAATTCTAGAACGATTGCTTATTCCCGGCGCGGCAGTTAAAACAACGGCGCGGGTGGAGGAGTGTGCGGGTGGGTGAGCGGGCGGGTGGGTGAGCGTGCGGGTGGGTGAGCGGGCGGGTGAGTGTGGGTGAGTGTGCGGGCGGGTGAGCGGGCGGGTGAGCGGGCGGGTGGGGGAGTGTGCGGGTGGGTGAGCGGACGGGTGAGTATGCGGGTGAGCGGGCGGGTGGGTGAGCGTGCGGGTGAGCGGGCGGGTGGCTGAGTGTGCGGGTGGGTGAGCGGGTGGGTGAGTGAGTGCGGGTGGGTGAGCGGGTGGGTGTGTGAGCGGGCGGGTGGCTGAGTGTGCGGGTGGGTGAGCGGGTGGGTGAGTGAGTGCGGGTGGGTGAGCGGGTGGGTGTGTGAGCGGGCGGGTGGGTGAGTGTGCGGGTGGGTGAGTGTGCGGATGAGCGGGTGATTCTCAAAATTAGTTTTCCCTTTGTTTTACCAACATAGGAAAAAAAACAAGTCTCAGGAGGGTCCTGCCAAGTTCGCAATAGAGGATGATGTTACTGCTGCTGCGGTGATCCCAATTGAGTAAATTTTCAGGTATATTTTTTTACATTTAAATATGTTTGCCCTCTGGTTAGAATGTGTGAGGTTTTTCTTTTAGCTATCGGAGCAAATCCGAGAGAACTTGAGACCCAGGAAGGAAACCCCCCACTCAGAACATGGGGAGAGACATACAAACTCAAAGGCACCCGAGTCTGGAATCGAACCCAGCTGCCTCCTTGCTGCGAGGCGCACGTGTTACCACTGCAACACCACCGTGTCGTCACCCCCCCCCTCCACTCCCTTCACACCGCCTCTAGTCCACCCAGCACCACGGATGGCTTCAGCACAGTCGAACGGCAGCTCGCGTGCGGTGGGGTAAAGCATGGGTACTCGCCACCTGTTGCAATAAACATTTCCGTGCAGCGTGGAAGAGTAGGCAAAGCACCCTCTCTCTCCCTTCTGCCAGAAGTGGCGTGAGCGAGCACTTCCAGGGCTGCGCCTTTATCACGCTTCCCTTCGTGGGCAACTCAAAGGCTGTTACGGGTGGCGAGATGTTAACTACCTCGCCTGGTACGCAGGAGGTCGTGGATCTAATCCGACCCTGACGCCTGCTGCTGCTGTATATTTGGAGTTTGCAGTGTGTCTCTCTCTCTCTGGATTTTTCTCCGGGTCCTCCGGTTTTTCCCCTCCACGTTTCGAATCAACATCACGCGCTCAGAGTTGTATTTGGCTGCTATAAATGTCCACACGATGAGCCACTTCGTTGTTGAGCTATCATCATTTGTGATGGTAATAATCTACAAATAGTTTCGTTTCGTACGGTTTTTGTTGTTGAAGGTTTCAACTCCAGTGACAATTCTGGATGTAATCCCTCAAGCCGACTCGCCCCTTGCTCACTCACCACGCCTGGGGGGCATTGTCAATCCTTCTAAATTTGAAGCTTTCGTGACTGCTTGATACAGATTTTTTTTGCTGTGACAGTTTCACCTGAAGACGGAAGCTTGTGTTGCCTCCGAAACGTCGTGATTTTATTGTTTTTATTTTGTATTAACTTTAATTTCATTTTTTACCTACGTGACTTTACCGAAAGAACTAAGAGTATTGTCAATCCTTAATTGGCCCACGGACCCGCGCTCTTATCCAGCGGTGGTGCCATTTGCAGCAAACATCCCACATTCCAGTGGCCAGTACCATTGTCTCACGACAACAACAGCTTCCTCACACACACACGCACACACAAGGTGATAGTCATCTTATTGACCCCAGCGGGAACCCACAGGACGGATCATTCCCTCCCCCACTAACCAGGAATTGAACTGAAAAACCTCTCGTTTTTGGTATGGCCCAAATCCCCCCCCCCCCACCATCCCAACCACCCCCACCACCCCGAGCCCCCCACACTCCTCGCGAAGTCAGTGCGGTCTTAGCGCGGCATTTGCTTCGCGCTGTGTATGCTTTGCCGTTGCTTTGTCGCGCATTCCATATATTCTCCCGCACGGTATCCATGCTGCAGCCTGTGCCCCCCCCCACCCCCATCCTCCCTCGCCGCACCACCAACCCGATACAAGTTGAATACCGGAATCAAACCCGTGACTTTACCGGAAAAAACCTAAGAATATCTTTCCTCGTCGCCTCTGTCTCCGCTGTCTCCTCTCTGCACTCTGAGTAACCGTGTGGTGGCCATGGGCGTTTGGTGCAGCGAATGAAATGGGAACCCCCCCACCTCAATTGCCTCTGTCTAATTTCCACCTCCACCACACCCCCTCTACTACCACAGGACACGCGCGCGGGATGGATGTCACTCGCCTTGCCCACGGTCCATTGTTTTTTTTTTGTCCCACCGTTGTTGTTGCTGTTCGTCGTTTTTGGTTTGATTGGTCGGATCGGAAGCTAAGCTGGGGGGGGGGGGGGGGGGTATCTTCTTGGTTCTTTCGGTAAAGTCACGTAGAAGGGAAGTAATAAAAGAATAAAAATAAAACATAATAAAATAATTCTCACGGCGTTTCGGCCACAACGCAAGCAGCCGTCCTCAGGTGAAGACCAGGTCTGTCGGGGAGACAGCGTCTGAATGAAACACCACCACGCTTGGAGCGTCTATTTAAGCGTGGTGGTGTTTCATTCAGCGTGGTGGTGTTTCATTCAGACGCTGTCTCCCCGACAGACCTGGTCTTCACCTGACGACGGCTGCTTGCGTTGTGGCCGAAACGTCGTGAGAATTATTTTATCATGTTTTATTTTAATTGTATTACTTCCCTTCTACGCGACTTTACCGAAAGAACCAAGAAGATGAATCCCTGCAGTCACGAAAGCTTTAAATCGGGGGGGGGGGGGGGGGGGTCTCTTGAGCGCCTGGACATGGGCGTCTTTTGATTGGCCGCACGCCGCGGGTGACACGGGCCGCTATGTACTACTGCTGCTGCTGTTGTTGTTGTTGATGATGCAGAGGACAGTCACAGCAAGAATGCATTGACGCCGCAGCGCTCTGCTCCAGTGTCCGTGCGTCTCTCACCTTCGCCTAACCTGGCACTGACCAGCGCGGTGATGTATGGTCAAACAACCCCCCCCCCCCCCCACCAATCCGCACAGCTTACGGAGGTCAACGTCCACCGTCTAGCAGTGGAATGACACGCAGGGGCTGTGTATGTGCACCAAATGTAAACCAATTTGACGTTACATTTCATCTTAAACCAATAGTTACGCCCTGTCCAACCCCCCCCACCTATCCCCTGCGCTGCTGATTTGCCCGCAGCGTGCCTGAACTATTTCGTGACTCGGGGTCACAGCAAAATTCAGCCACCCTGCCCCTCTCCCCTCCTCGGTAGCTACTGAACACCCAAATTCACCGCAAGGGAGAGAGCGATGCTCTGGAGCCCGCGGCAAGCTTCACTTTGATGCCTTCACGTAGACAACGCAGTGCGCAATGGGCCGTGAAATGACTCTGCCGCTGACTCGCTCCACCCACCACACCGGGTAGGGGGGGGCAGAAGTCCGAGTTGCCCCAGTGCCCTTGTCACGAAAAAGTAGGCGAAGGCCATACTAGGGGGGCGGGGGGTGGGTGGTCTTTGCCCTCGGTAGATCGTCCCATGTGTATCCAAACCTCCTACGCATTTCACAAGTAGTACTAATCGCATATCTGCATTTCCCATAAATATGCTAAATTCCTATTGATATGCAAATTATTTTGTCAAGGCGCCCTTCCCCCCTCCATCCCAGCTTAAATAGTCGCTCCAAGCCTGGAGTGTGTCATTCAGACGCTGTCTTCTCGACAGACCTGTTCTTCACCTGAGGACGGCTGCTTGCGTTGTGGCGGAAACGTGAGAATTATTCTATTATGTGTAA